GGCACTTCTTAATGTACTATCAGATTTTATTTACTTAATCAAGTGGCTGAATCAAGAATGCTTGCACATCTCTCCAATATCCCAACACATTACTTTGCTTAAAAGTCTGATTTCCAAGTAGTGAGTCAGCAAAGGTTTAGGCATTGTTCACTGAAAACATTAATGAGTGAACAATGTTAGCAGTCACATGGTTACTCTCTGGCTTTTCATAAATATTTTTATTGGATGATTGCAACATCGCTTGCTGGCTGGCACTGTTTTACTCTACTGGCTTTTCTTTCCAAAATGATTTGGACAAAATGCTTTTCTTGGCATGCAGCTGTTGAGTAGCCAAATGAATTTGATTTGCAAAAGCCCTTCAAACATTTACTTAAAAAGACAATAATTCAATGTTCAAATTGACCTTTCTCTCCAGAGTTCATGGTTCCTATTCTTGCATTTGGAAAACATTTCATTTGGGGCCCTTCTACACTGCAACATAAGATCCAGAATATCTGCACTGAACTGGATTCTCTGGCAGCGTAGACTCATAAAATCCAGTTAAAGCAGATAATATGGATTATCAGCTTTGATAATCTGAAATATATGGCCATGTAGCTGAGGCCTCGGGGCCCTTCCAGACAGGCCCTATATCCCAGGATCTGATCCCAGGTGTTCTATTTATCCAAGATTATATGGCAGTCCAGACTCATATAATCCAGTTTAAAGCAGAAAACTTTGGATCAGATCCTGGGATATAGGGCCTGTCTAGAGGGAAATTGGATGGGAAATTGAAAAATAATACCTTAAATAAAATTAAAATAAAATCCTTTTAACCATAATGTAAGTTTAAGCTATGCAAACCACACTGTGAATAGGCCCACACTTAGTTAGTAAAGTTCATTAACTTGAAAAGTTTATTGACTGCCTTATTTCTTTATCATGTCAGAAGCAAATTGAGGGTAAAGTTATAATGTATTTTTAAAAAACACAAACAAAGTTTTAAAACTTGGCATTGTACTAAATTTCCTTTGACCAGAAGCTGGTTGCTTGGAGTGCCTCTGGTGTCGCTGTGAGAAGGTCATCCATTCTGCACGTGGCAGGGTGCAGACCACATTGTAGTAAGTGGTCTGTGGTTTGCTCTTCTCCACACTCACATGTTGTGGACTCCACTTTGTGGTCCCATTTCTTAAGATGGCTCTGCATCTCGTGGTGCCAGAGCGTAGTCTGTTCAGCGCCTTCCAAGTTGCCCAGTCTTCTGTGTGCCCAGAAGGGAGTTACTCAACCCGAAATTAGCCATGGATTGAAGTTCTGGGTTTTAGCCTGCCACTTTTAGACTCTTGCTTGCTAAGGTGTTCCTACAAGTATTTCTGTAGATCTTAGGAAGCTATTTCTTGATTTAAGGTGTTGGCATGCTGACTGATATCCGAGCTGAGGGTGGGCCAGAGATGTCAATGCCTTGGTCCTTTAACTATTGGCTGCTACTTCCCGACTGATGGCAGGTGGTGCAATACCGGCTAAACAGTGTAATTTCTCCAGTGGTGTAGGCCACAGACACCCCGTGATAATGCGGCATGTCTCATTAAGAGCCACATCCACTGTTTTAGCATGGTGAGATGTGTTCCACACTGGGCATGCATACTCAGCAGCAGAGTAGCATAACGCAAGGGCAGATGTCTTCACTGTGTCTGTTTGGGATCCCCAGGTGAATCCCCAGCTCATCCCCTGTTTGGATATCAGCCAGCACATCAACGACTTAAATCAAGAAATACTTTTCTAAGATCTACAGAGACACTCGCTGGAACACCTCAGCAAGCGAGAGTCCAAAAGTGGCAGGCTCAAACCCAGAACCTCAATCAATGGCTGATACCAAATGAGAGACTCCCCCCTGGGCACACAGAAAACTGGGCAACTTGGAAGGCGCTGAACAGACTGCCCTCTGACACCACGAGATGCAGAGCCAACCTTAAGAAATGGGGCTACAAAGTGGAATCCACGACATGCGAGTGTGGAGAAGAGCAAACCACAGACCACCTACTACAATGCAACCTGAGCCCTGCTACATGCACAATGGAGGACCTTCTTGCAGCAACACCAGAAGCACTCCAAGTGGCCAGCTACTGGTGAAAGGACATTTAATCAACTACCAAGCTTGGAAACTTTGTATTTTGTCTGTCTGTTTGTGTAAAAATGCAACGCAACTGTTTGGTCTGCTCCTGACACAATAAATAAATAAATAAATTTATTTATCGTGTTTTGTAGCAGATTTCCTATGGAGCGGTTGAGGTGATAATCCTTTGTGATACTATTTTTTTTCCTCAGGAGGTGATGATTTACAGTATCATAAGCTGCTGACAGGTCTATGAAGACTACTCCTGGGATTACTGGTCCCAAAAGTTAATTGTGTATCCAGTAATCATCTTCCTTGATGCTATAATTTGCTGATAGACCTGTGCATTATATGTTTTTGACCTGTTTTGACACTCCCTCACCCCCTATTCTGCTTCAGTATTTATATTTACATTTTAAATGTACCAAATATACCAAATTCATATGAAAATGTGACTTTTATTTCCTGGCACAAGAAGATTAGCCTGTAGCTTTTTGGATCATTACGGTCTTAGCCTGGTTTCAAGATGACTATGACTCTTGCTTTCCTCCAGATTTTAGGGATCTGACAGGATGCAATGCAGTTGTTCATTAGCTTCAACAGCCAGCACCTTGCTTTTGGGCCAAAGTTCTTAAATCGCTCCATCTGTAGATCGTCTGGGTCAGCTTCTTTGCCATTTTTACATTTATTGAGAGGCATTCCCAATTCAGTGGATATAAAAGGTTCATAAAAATTCACATTGCAACACTGTGTTTCAGTAATTGGTTATTCCTATCCAATGTTGATTATTGTTGCATTGGCTACTCAGAGAAACCAGGGAACCAGGAAAAAGATGTTGTGTCCAATTTTTATAGAAAGTCAACTTCCTACTTTTTGAGTGGTCATGAGAAAGGGTTATCCAAATAAACCTGATCAAACATCCTTGGAACCGTTTCCTCTTCCAAACCCTATATAAGGGGGGAAATGAGATCTGAGCATCGGTTTTATTCTGGTCTTTTCAGATGAGTCTCAGCAGCTGGTTTGATATTGACTCTTCAAAGGTCCTAACATCCTCAAGAAAGGTATTGTGCATTTTATGAATCAATAACAATTTTTCTAACTTATTTCAAAAGTTGAATGGGACGTAAAAAGCAGGAATATCCTAGCTCAGAGTTCTAGCTTGCTGGAGTGGGTTAGACTTCAATTTCAGTTCCCAAATGTATGTTTTCATAAACTGCTTCCATTTTCCCCAACTCCAATATTTTTTTAAAAATGTCATTGAATTTAGTGGAAATTTACTCTAAGGTAAGTGTTGTATGGCTGGGTTGCTGTGGGTTTTTCAGGCTGTGTGGCCATGTTTCAACAGCATTCTATTCTGACATTTTGCCTGCATCAGTGGCCGCCACCTTCAGAGGTTCTGTTGGCAGTGAGGTAAGTGGAGTGTATATATACCTGTGGAATAATGTCCAGGGTGGGAGAAAGTACCCTTGTCTGTTTAAAGCAAGTATGAATGTTGCAAATGGCAAGGTTGAATGGCACTGAGCAGCCATGAAGCTGCAAAGTCAATCAGTGAGGGCATCTTCATAACCTGGCCTGTGTTGCCTAGAGGCACCCTCTCTTTGGAAGGTGTTTACTGGCACTTGATAGTTTGCTGCCTGGAGTTCTCCTGTTTCCAAGCAGGGTTTCCTTATTCACTGCCTTGATTCTGGTGTTTTTAAATACTGGTTAACATCTCACAAACAGATGATGCCTCCAGGCAACAACAGCCAGGCTACTTCTATGCAGATACCTTTACTGATTGACTTTGCAGCTTCGGGCCCTTCCACACTGCCTTTATATCCCAGGATATGATCCTAGATTATCTGTTTATCACAGGTTACCTGGAAGTGGGGACTGATATATTCCTGTTTAAAACAGATAATCTGGGATCATATCCTGAGATAAAGGGCAGTGTGGAAGGGCCCTTCATGGCTACTTAATGCTATTCAAGCTTGCTAATTGCAACATTCGCTTTCTTTAAATAGACAAAGGCTCTTTCTTACACCCTGGATATTGCAATACACACATACACATACCACTTGCCTCACTTCTAACAGACTTCTGAATATGCCAATAGCTACAGATGCAGGTGAAATGTCAGGAGAGAATGCTGCTGGAACATGGCCATTCAGCCCAAATAACTCACAGCAACTCAGTGATTCCAGCCATGAAAGCCTTCGACGACACAGTTGTACTGCTGCTTGAACCTACTGATGTGCAAGACATTTAGCCAGTCATTTATTTAATCCAAATAATTGTGTGCCCAGGGCCGCAAGGTAATGTGCAATAACATCATTTTAACTACAATGTTATAAAAAGTAGGTTGCTTAAACATCTAAATGATATACAGGTAGTCCTGAGTTCAAACATCCGACTTACAAATGACTCAAAGTTAAGAACAAGGAAGTGAGAAAAATCTACTCTTCAGAAGGAAGGGAAATCCACTCCTGGAAGAATTATTTTTATGGGGAAAGGGGGTCTCCACCAAAGTGTTCTCTCCAATTTTTGTTTCCACAACAAGCCAAAATTTTCAATACCCAATTATCACAGGAACAGAAAGTGAGGTAAAATCTTCTGAACAGGGGTAAAGACCACAAAAGAAACACCACAGGGGTGTTAGCCCTTCCCTAGGTGATCTAAAGTGAAAACATGGATTTTTGTCTTTAGTTACTCTTAAATGTACCTGTTCTGACTTACACACACACATTCAATTTCAGAAGAAACCTACAGAATGCATGTTGTTTGTAACTTGGGGACTGCCTGTAGCTTTTAATCCAGCAACTCTTAAATTTTCCTCTTTATTTCTTCGTTTACATAAAAGAGATGTTAATAATGTGACCTCAATTACAAATTTTCTTACATTCCTTGCAGTTTGGATTTGTTTTGGTCTTCATCCTTGTGCATTGTTGATTTCTCGTTGGAAGAGCTAATTATGAGGCATAAATTCCATCTGCTGTGGCTCTTAATCAGCCTTGAATGTTCCAGCTCGCAAAAGCCAACAAGCCCAATGACTGGTAAGGACCTCATTTTCTAGTTTAAAGAACCCCCTCATGTTGTTGTGAGTCTGTTTAAACAGCAGGCTTCTTGTTCATGCTAGGTCATTTATGAGCAAACTTTGGCCCTCCAGGTGTTTTGGACTTCAATTCCCACAATTCCTAACAGCCAGTAGGCTGTTAGGAATTGTGGGAATTGAAGTCCAAAACATCTGGAGGGCCAAAGTTTGCTCATCCCTGCGCTAGATAAATAGAAAGTATCTATTTTCAGCCACAGAGTCCTTTTTGAAGCAAAGGTTTATTTTGGATCCCCAATAAATGTAAGTGTGTGTGTGTTGTATATATATCAGGCATGGATAAACTTTTGGACACAGGGGTCTCATTGTGTGTTAAAATTTGACAGACGGGCTAGGCCAGTAGCAAATGGATGGTGTGAGTCTACACTGCCAGATAATCTGGGATAAGAATATAATCTTGGATCAGATCCCATCATATAGGGCAATGTAGATCCAACCATAGAAAGCATCGTGTTCTGCTCCTCTTTGGTCTCATAGCAGAACGGGAAGCAAAAAAGTAAGACCATATTTTAAGCAATCAATGCACATGGAGAACATTGAGTGGAGAATAGAATAGATCAGTATGAAAACTGGGAAATCTCCAAATTGTGGTATAATGCTGAATCCCTGAGAGTTCAACTGGGCTGCAGTCAGCCTCAAGATCACCGACCATAGCTGTATTTCCTCCTCTCACGGCTCCTCCGAAAAGTCGTGGGAAGATCACTTCATTAGGGCTTTGAAAAATACAGAAGGATTGTGGATAAGGAGCTGTGTTTCCATTTCAGCAGCTACAGTAAATTGTTCAAACTGCGATTCCAATGCTTCATGCGAAGAACATGGAGACCTGCATCGATGTGTCTGCAGAGAAGGATTCACCGGAGATGGTGCCACTTGCTTTGATATAGACGAGTGTTCCCACACTGATTTGAATCGTTGTCACTCTTTAGCGATCTGTATTAACAACCAGGGCAACTATTCCTGTTCTTGTCCCAAGGGCTACAAAGGCGATGGCTACCACTGTGAAGCTACCACTGGTTTTGCTGAGGACTGTGTGGGAATCAATGGATCCCGTAGTTGCGTCGACCCATGTTTGAGCCACACGGTTCTGGAACAGTCATGGAGAAGCATGTCCTATGGGTCAGGATCCAACTGTGACAGTGATAAAATTGGGTGGTATCGGTTTGTAGGCCATGGAGGAACTCGTATGCCTGAAACCTGTGTACCAAAACGGAGGTGCAATACTTTTGCACCTATGTGGTTAAATGGCTCACATCCCACCAGTGATACTGGAATAGTAAATCGCATTGCCTGTGCCAATTGGGAGGGAGCTTGTTGCTATTGGTCCATCCCTGTCCAGGTGAAAGCTTGTGTTGGTGGCTATTATGTCTACAAACTTGATGGGACACCAACCTGTACCTTGTCTTATTGCACAGGTATGTTGTCTGGGATGAATTTGTAGGAGGGTTTGTTCTGTTGGGAGCACAATTCCCCATCTACCATGGTCCCCTTTGTGCTTTATTTCTCTTTTAGATCCCAAGTACATTGACAACCCATGTCCCCAATGCAACACAGAGGAAGAATGCAGGCTGGAGAATGGAGAATGGGGTTGCTATTGCAGTACAGGATCCCCCAGCTCTGGTATGTGTATCAAGGGCATTCAAACAAAAGGCTCATTGAGCTGAAAGAAAATCAGTGCAAGAAAATATAAGAGAGGGATATGACTGACAGTTTAGATATGTGTGGGCATCCCTTATAGACATTCCAGATTTGTATTGTTGAAGGCTTTCATGGCCAGAATCACTGGGTTGCCATGAGTTTTTCAGTCTGCATGGCTATATTTCAGCAGCATTCTGTCCTAACATTTTGCCTGCATCTGTGGCTGGCATCCTCAGAAGTTTTTGGAAAACCACTGGTCACATAACCTTTTGGAAAATGGCATTCATTATCATTTGGGAAAACCAGGAATCTTTTGAAAAAGCATGAACTTGTTAGAAATCACAACCTTTTGTAAAGTATGATTTTCCTGAGAATAATTAAAATCTCGTCTGAATCAACCCTCTCCTTAGTGGTAACTATCCACTACCATTCATGCAATGCAATTAGGTTTCTCGGCTGTTAAACTGATATACCTAGATATCTCTTTGAACTGTTATGGACAAAGATATGCCAATGCACAAACACATATATTGCAGTTTCAGAAGTGTTTCTTTCAGTTGCCCAAAAACATCTACTCTCTCTTAAAACATCTTGGTTTAAATCATGCTCTCAAGAGAAAAGCAACATAGTTGGTTTACACACAAACTTTATGTATTCAGCATACAGGTACTTTGCATATTAATCCAGTTACAGATGGATTTGAATGCTTCTGGAACATGGCCATACAGCCTGGAAAACTCACAGTAACCCAGGATTTGAAGTAATTTCTCTATGCAGATAACACAGGGCATCTTTCTTAGAATCTTAACACTCCAAAGCATCTCTCCAGTCTGAGAGTCTAATAGAATCTCTTCTCTAAAGCATTCTATTTCTGCTCACTTCTAAAACGAAGTCTGAGATTTTAGGACAGTCCCAGATCTGGTCACATGGTCGACAACCCCTCCCACAACATAGAGTTAAGAAAATCTGCATACCAGTACACACATATACAATACAATAAACAATACAATAAGCAATCTGAATTATATACATATCAAATAACTAGTATAGAAGACTTGCAGAAGGTTGCTATTTCCAACAGAGGTCTGTTGAAATGGAACAAGTGGTGTATATATATACCTGTGGAATGTCCAGGGTGGAAGAAAGAACCTTGTCTATTTAAAGCAAGTGTGAATGTTGCAATTGGCAAACTTGAACTAGCATTTGAGTAGCCATGAAGTTTGCAAAGACAGCAAGGCTATCTACATAGATGTAGCCTGGCCTTTGTTGCTGGTTAGGATACTGGTACCACCATGAGAGGCCCGTAGCCAGGATTTCGATTCGAGGGGGGGGGATGAATTTTTTCAGGGGGGGTTTCGGGGGGGGGGCTGAGTTTCGGGGGGGCTGAGTCTGAGTGAAAGAGGGTCTAGCTTAGCAAACCTTTTGTATCATTACCCCAATACCCCCATGCATATGGGATATATTGAGTATGGTGATCAGATCATGATATGAATAAACATAACAGTTTAAATAATGCACCAGTAAGGCCTTTTCGCGAACCACCATGAGAATTTCGGGGGGGGGAGGGGGCTGAAGCCCCTCAAGTCCCCCCCCCCCCCCCAGCTACATGCCTGCACCATGAAAAAAACACCAGAACGAAGACAGTAAAGGATGAACACCACTCAGAAACAGGAGAACTCCAGATAGCAAACAATCAAGGGCCAGTTAACACTAGGCTTGTGTGCGGAATTTATTTCTACCGTTTGTTTCTGTACTTTAGGAGCCCGTAACAGTAAGGGCTCTCCCGGTACAAAAACCCACCCAACACGAAAGCAAACAGGAGCTGATCTCCGCTCCTGCTCTGCCTTTCGGCATCACAGTTTAATCTTTTTAATTAATCCCCCAGCAAAAGCCACCCAACACGAAAACAAGCAAGAGCTGATCTCAGCTCCTCCTCTGCCTTTCGGCATCACAGTTTGATCTTTTTAATTAATCCCCCAGCAAACAAAAAGAAAATCCCCATTCCCTGAAAATTGCTCTCCTCTTCCAGAAGGTCATTGCTCTTCCTTACCTGGAAATAGGAAGCCTCCTTAAAATGCCTTGAAAAGAGTGCATGCATGGCTGCTGGCATAGTGCAGCCTAGGAGAGAAAGCAGCACCAGCCTGCAGCTGAGCGCCTCTCCTTTAGAGTAAGAAACAGAGGACTTGCCTCCTTGCCTTGGAAAGAGTGTGTGTGGCATGCAGGCCTGGGAGAGAAAGTGCGGGTCTCTACATGCAGCCAAGTGTTTTTCCTTTAGAGTAGAAACGGGTAAGAACCCTCCTTAAAACACGCACCCGCCTGCAGCTGAGCGCCTCTCGTCAATGCCTAACATGACGGGAAGGGGAGCCTGGGAACCTCTACCCTCCCATAATGGGCTGATAGAAAACTGATCTTTCAGCGCCCCAGTGCAAAAACAGATATCTGCCCTCCTGATTTCAGGAGGCTCCCAAAAAATGGATCGGCGCCCCCACTGAAAGCCAGGTCACGAAATAGGCTGAGATTTAGCCTAGTTAACACCTCCCAAACAGAAGACACTTTCAGGCAATAAAGACCAGGCTACCTCTATTCAGATACCCTCACTGATTGACTTTGCAAACTACGGTTGGCTTTACACTGCAATATAATCCAGATGATCAAAGCAGATAATCCATATTATCTGCTTTGAACTAATTATATGAGTCTACATGGCCATATATTCCACTTCAAAGCAGATAGTCTGGATTTATATGGCAGTGTCGATGGGACCTACAATTTCAAACTAGAAGTACATTTAAAAATACAACTAACTAACTAATACAAGACTTGTTAAGATGAGAAAAATGAGAAGAATGCAATCATGAACTTCCAAAGAATAAAAAAGAAAAATTAAAACAAGGGCAGAGTTCCTTTTATTCAGAAAAAGGAGAAATTGCAATGTTTTGTTGCAATTTCACACCTGCCTATGGCTGTTTCCTAGGTCATGCTATTCCCTGAATCAGTTGCTGTGTGAAACTAGACCCGCACCCACCACCAGATTCATTTTTCTTTATCTGAACCTAAACTAGTCCTAAAATAACAGGATTCAATGCTCCACACAGACATGATTTTATATTTGACACTGTTACCCCAATTGAGGGTTCAACTTGTGATAGTAACTGGCTTGTTTTTTTAATTAAGATATTTCCAGCTTGGAACCACAACTGGAATGTGGTGCGAATGAAATCAAAGTCTCTTTGGAAAAATGTATCCTGAATCAAATGGGGATCCATAATGCAGTCGTGTACTTGAGGGACTACAAGTGTGCTGGTTTCGAAGAAAAGCAAAACAGGACCATGATCTCAGTGGTCACTCCCACACAAAGTGGCCAATGCGGAACACAGTTGACAGTAGGTTTTCTATTTAGTGTAAAAGCAATATGAAGGCTGATTAGCAGCATCACAAAACTAATTAAGAGTGGTTTTAAAAAAAATCATTGCCTTTAGTTTGCATTACCTTTTTGTGATGTTATCAAGTTGCTGGATTGGATTAGCTTTGTAATTGGGATGCAAAATGATCAATGACTGGCTAAAATATGACCCCTAATTTGCTGGAATCTTGAAATCATAGGCCCCTTCAACACTGCCATATAAAATCCAGATTACCTGCTTTGCATTGAATTATATGGAAGTGTAGACTCAGGCTCCTTCTACATGCCATATAATCCAGATTAACAAAGCAGAAATCCACATTATCATCTTTGAACTGGATTATACAAGTTTACACTGCCATATAATCCAGATTAACAAATCAGATAGAGACACTAGACTCCTATTGATGCACACCAAAATCCCGTTGGCTTTTTTTTTTTTTGCCACCACATGACAATGTTGGCTCATGTTTAACTTGTTCACGAGGATTCCAAGATCTTTTTCGCACATACTGCTCTCGAGTCACATGTCCCCCATTCGGTATCCTTGCATTTCATTTTTTCTGCCTAAGTGAAGTATCTTGCATTTGTCACTGTTGAACTTCATTTTGTTAGTTTTGGCCCCTCTCTCTCAGAGTCAGGAACAGACTCTGTTAAGACCGTTTTGAATCCTGCTCCTGTCTTCTAGAGTATTGGCTATCCCTCCCTTCTTATAGACTTAGCACGGGGATTTGGTTAACCAGTTAAAATTCATGAGTAAACCAGGGTTTTTTTAATCTGAAATTTTGCGGGATGGACAGGACCCCTACCCCCCCCCCCCTTGGCTACAGCCCTGGGTCCAGCATAGATGCATGCCTGAATAGCTTCCAACTAGACACACCAGCAACTATGAAAGTGCTGAGCAAGGAGATTTGGGGCACCATTTCAGTTCCTTTTGGCATCAGAATTTTTTTGCTTGCAGCTCCACAGATTACTCTGAAGTTGGGAGCTGAGTTGCTTTCCTTCTTTTTCCACTCCACAGAAAAATGAAACCCACGCTACATATAGTAACACACTATATCTGGCAGATGGGACTGTCACCAGGGAGGATGAAATCAAAATTAATTTTCACTGCTCGTACCCGCTGGATATGGAAATCAGTCTCGAAACAGCCATCCAGCCCATTGTCAGGTGAGGCATTACTTATTAAAGGAACAGCAATTCATCTTGGCTAATGATACTTTCAGTTCTATTTAGCACTCCTACCACGGGAGAATAATATAAGGGAAAAACCCATCCCCAATAAGCCATACCGAGGGCAGAAAAGGACATGGGGAGGAACTGGTGAATGACCCCAATGCCCCAGGATTCATGGACTGGTTGATGGAATAATTTATTTATTTATCATGTCAAAAACAAATTGAGAATACAAAAATAATGTATTAAAAAGCCACAAACAAAGTTAAAAGCTTGGCATTGTACTAAATTTCCTTAGACCAGAAACTGGCCACTTTGAGTGCCTCTGGTGTAGCTGTAAGAAGGTCCATAATTGTGCATGTGGCAGGGCTCAGACTGCATTGTAGGAAGTGGTCTGTGCTTTGCTCTTCTTCACACTCACATATTGTGGATTCCACTTTGTATCCCCATTTCTTAAGGTTAACTCTGCACCTTGTGGTGCCAGAGCGCAATCTGTTCAGTGCCTTCCAAGTTGCCAAGTCTTCTGTGAGCACAGGAGGGAGTTTATCATTTGGTATCAGCCATGGATTGAAGTTCTGGGTTTTAGCCTGCCACTTTTGGACTCTTGCTTGCTGAGATGTTCTTGTGGAGCAACTGGAGTGTATATATATCACTGTAGATCTTAGGAAGCTATTCCTTGATTTAATGTGTTGGCTTGCTGGCTGATAGCTGAACTGAAGATGGGCCAGAAATGTCAATGCTTTGGTTCTTTCATTACAGGCTGCTACTTCCTAATGGATATCAGGTGGTGCAATACCAGCTAAACAGTATAATTTCTCCAGTGGTGTAGGGCGTAGACATCCCATGATAATGCAACATCTCATTAAGAGCCACATCCACTGTTTTCATGTGGTGAGATGTATTCCACACTGGGCATGCGTATTAAGCAGCAGAGTAGCCAAGCGCAAGGGCAGACAACTTCACTGATTGTAATCTCCAGGTTGTGCCAGTCAGCTTTTGTATGATATTATTTCTAGAATCCACTTTTTGCTTGATAGTCAAGCAGTGCTTCTTATAAGTCAGGGCATGGTCCAGAGTGACACCCAGGTATTTCGGTATGCTGCAATGCTCCAGTGGGATTCCTTCCCAGGTAATCCTCAGAGCTCAAGATGCTTGTCTGTTCTTAAGGTGAAAAGCACATGTCTGCATTTTAGATGGATTAGGAATCAGCTGGTTTTTCCTGCAATAGGCAGTAAGAGCACCTAAAGCTTTAGAGAGCTTCTGTTTAACCTTTCCAAAGTTCCCTGCTTGAGTGGTGATGGCATGATCATCAGCATAGATAAAACTCTCTGTCCCTTCTGGCAGTAGCTGATCATTTGTGTAAATGTTAAACATTGATGGAACAAGTACACTCTCCTGAGTAAGGCAGATGTTTTTGACATCTGCTTCTCTGACCCTGGAACGCAACAAAAACAACTCCTGTTAAATTGACTTGCAACATTAAGGTCAATTTAAATAAAGCTATCCTCCATCCAGTGATGAGAGTCAAAGACCAAAGCCTGTACCTATAGTTTTTCACCTTATCCATTTTTTCGATCCTTCTAGTTCAGTCAACATCAGCACTGGAGCAGCAGGAGTGTTTCTAGTTAAGATGGCTCTTTACAGAGATCAGAATTACACGTCACCCTATGAGGGAGCAAAGGCCATATTATCAACAGAAGACTGGCTGTATGTTGGCGTCATGATCACTGAAGGAGACACATCTCAGTTCGTCCTGCAGATGGATAATTGTTTTGCAACACCAACAGAAAATGCCACGGATCCCTTGAAATATTACATAATTCAAAACAGGTATGGGAAGGCACATTCACTTGATCAAAGGCCCATCATTTCCCATGATTTCAGGGTACCTGAGCATTGATAGGATCAGTTATTATTAGGTCCAGAGTAGAGGCAAAGGGCACAACCTGACAAGAAATGGGCCCAATGCAGGATCTGAAGTCCTGCTGTTCTTTGGGGGACTTTTGGCTATTTGAAACCAAAGTGAATGAGTTGATGGAAGAGGTGGTCTAAACCATATATGTTGATAATAATTAGATTTCAAAGGAGGCAAAGGAGAATATACATCAAGAATGACAAAAAAGACATGTCTCCTTCAACATTGCTATATAACCCAAGACAGTTTAGGTGTGCATGGATGTGATGAATTCTCTACCTGTTAGGCTAGGAAAAGCTCAGAAAAGTAGGCCCAGGAAGTCCAGCAGCCATTTTAGAAGGGTGCCTGGGGGCATCCATCTTAGATACTCATTTCCTGAAGTAGGTGTGCTTAGGAGCAGCTTGGAGGGAAGTGAGGGGAGTTAGTGATTGGCTGGGAGAGAGTGGTCAGAGCTTAACTTGGCAAAGGGGAAAAAATTGTCTTTAAGGGGACGTTTTGAAATCTGACAACTCAGATTGGGTCTGGGTGTCAGAGAAGAAGGAGATTGAGTCTAGGTGTCAAAGAAGAAGGAAGATTAGGGTTTGGTGTGAAGAAGAGAAAGGTTATGGAAGCCTGAAGTTGGTCCGTTAGTCAGCAGAGTTAGTGAGAAGATTTCCAGCTATTGGGAAGGATAGCTGGGGAGGTGGAGTGACAGATCCAGGGTAAAAGGAACTGTCTGTGAGGAGTTTGGGATTGCTGGGCAGAGAGGAATCCTGTCAGTAATTTCTGGAGGGAGAGAGAAATGTTATGTGCAACTAAGTTTTGAACTGTTTAAAGAAACCACACGCTTTATTCAACATTCAAACAGCTAAGCTTAATGCCTGTTTTATTCAAGTTCTCTCAAATAAACAACACTGTCATTTGTTCACAGCATCTGCCTCACGTGTGCCTCTGTGTGCGAAGTTTTAAAGCAAGTTGCTGAAGAAATCAAAGTCTAATGGTGGCAGCGTATAGTTAAAAAAGTAATCTCTTCATTGTTACCTCAGAGCACAAGCCTGAGTGCAAATCCAGCACATTCTAGCCTAAAGATGCCTCAAGTAATCCAAAGTATTTGAACAGGATTATTTGGGTCTACACTGCCATATAATCTGGTTCAAGGCAATCTGGATTTTATATGGTAGTGTTGAAGGGGCCCAGTGTAAGCAAGCTTTTAAGAATAACGTTTTGGTTTATGAACTTTTCCTCTGTTTTACTCTTCTTCTTGTAAGACTAATGTGCATTTTATAGAAATGCTTGGATATGTATCTTTTATGGAGCTGCATTTTTAGAATTTTTATAGTACTTGTGTGTTTTTGACCCGCCTCGAACCATGGAGAGAGGCGTGTAGGAATTATTATTATTGTTATTATTATTATTATTATTATTATTATTATTATTATTTCATTTAATTGCTTAATAACTTTGATTAACTGATATTACAGATGCCCGAACACACAGGATTCAACAATAGAAGTCCCAGAAAATGGAGTTGGGCCTCAGGGACAGTTTTCTCTTCAAGTATTCAAGTTTGTTGGGAATCATAACCTTGTTTACCTCCATTGTGAAATCCGTCTCTGTGACACTAGCACTGAAACATGCAAACCAGTAAGTGGACACTAGTTGTTAAGTGGGAATTGTAACTGAGCGGGTGCAGATATATATGCAGATAGGTTTGCAACAGATGCTATTGTTACATTTTCCTTCTTGAAATTGATTTTTTTCCCCCTCTATAGAGTTGCTCCAAAATTGGAAGCCGCCGGGCTGCTGAAGTGAGGGTTGACACTTATAGTTTGACACTGGGTCCTCTCTTCCAAAGAGGTAATGACACTTCTTTGTCCTATACAACAGCAAGGATTTGGCCCCTTTCTACACTGCCCTATATCCCAGGATCGGATCCCAGATTATCTGCTCATTCCAGATTAACTAACTGTGTAGACGCATATAAACCAAAACAATGTGTTGTCGAAGGCTTTCTTGGAAAGAAACACTGAGTTGTTGTGAGTTTTCTGGGCTGTTTGGCTATGTTCCAGAAGCATTCTCTCCTGACATTTCACCCACATCTATGGCAGGCATCCTCGGAGGTTGTGAGGTCTGTTAGAAATTAGGCAAGTGAGGTTTAATATCTGTGGAATGTCCAGGGTGGGAGAAAGAACTCTTGTCTGTTGGAGGCAAGTGTGAATGTTGATTAGCATAGAATGACCTTGCAGCTTCAAAGTCTGGCTGCTTCCTGCCTGGGGGATCCTTTGTTGGGAGGTGTTAGCTCCCAAGAAATGGTTAACGCCAATCATCAAAAAAGAAACAAAATTAAACCCATGGCAGACTGTGCAAAAAGAATCTGTGAAGCCCACTTCCTCCAAGATGAACTGAACCACCTAAACCGGGCTCTACAGGCCAGTGGATACTCCACCACAGACATTAGAAGAGCTGCTTAAATGGCTGAGGGGACAAGGAAAAGGCCCCAGGCTGTTAGGAACTGAGGGAGCTGAAGTCCAAAACATCTGGAGGGCCCAAGTTTACCCATGCCTGGTATAGATGCACCCTGTGTTATCCACATCTTAATTCAGGGTCAGCCTACAAGATACCAAGGCCTTGGTTCTGATTGCAAATGGGTCAGTTTGTGTTTTAAAATGTAGGCAACTCGAAATTCTGCCCTGGTTTCCCATAAGCTCTTTTTGAAGCTTGTGTAAGCAGATATCTTTGCATGCCCTACACATTCCTGCCTGTCTGCCTTGGATTGATATTTGGTTTTACATTGAGCCTAGTTAATAATGTGGAGCAGTAGGAACAATGAGCAGAATAATAAGCGAAAGGAATAATTTTACCAGCCGGAGATAGAGGAGTGAGGTACATTCAGGTCCATCTAAGAGACAATAAACAAATGACACCTGAAAATGGTTCTCATGAGAAATACTTCCTGCTCATGATCTGGTTTATCCTTTCTTCAGGTTTTATTTTAGGTTTCCCATCAGAGGCTGGTTCTGCTGCTGCATCCTATGGTAAGCTCTTTTCCTCTGAAGTCTACAAGCATTCCCAAATGTTTTTAAAATGGGACAAAAAAACAAGGAATGTGTCATTATTATTTAGGGTACAATTAAGAGCTAAAATCTAACATAAAATATGCATCTATATAAATAAAAATGTAATGTTCGTTTGTGGGAGTAACATAACTCAAAAACCACTGGATGAATTGATACCAGATTTGGACACAATACACCTATTAGACCAATGAGTGACCATCACTCATAAAAACACTAAAAACACAGTGGAAGGGACTTCAAAAGCCAAAAAAGCAAAAAGACACTACAGCACATGTACAAAAACAACTCCCCCTGGCAAACAAAACACACAATAGCATATCCACACACTCTTCTGGACTACAGCTCCCAGCATCCCCTAGATCAGGCCCTTTAGGACAGGAGGATGATCCAAATGCACTGCTTCCAAGCTGCAAGCTTTCTTCTCCTTGGATTTCTTTGAGAGCATCCCAATCCCTGCAATTTACTATTCCTGGACTGCAACTCCCAGCAATCATCCAGACAGATAGATTAGACAGAGATAGGTAGGTAAGTAGGTAGATAGATCAGGAGGACTGCTGGGAGTTGCAGTGCAAGAATAGGTAGAGAAGGAAGAAAGGGGAGAAAGAGGAAAGGAAAGAAAAGGTGGGGGGGGATGGAAGGGAAGAGGAAGAGAAGGAAGGAAGGAGAGACGGAAAGAGGGAGGGAAGGAAGAAAAGAAAGGAGAGAAAGAAAGGAGGTGGGAAAGAGGGAGGGAAGGTTGGCCACAGTGAGTGGTGGGTACAGCTAGTTTAAATATACATTTTCATTGAAATTATTATTATTATTATTATTATTATTATTATTATTATTATTCCTATTATTATCCTGCCCCCTCTCCCGGAAGCCCGTCTTGCCTGCTTCATTGCCACCAGCTCCCTAGTAAACCAGGGAAGAGAGGACACTCAGGGGCAATCGTGTCCACTGCCCTGGTCATCTCCTTATTCCAGAGATCAACCAGAGCATTGAAAGGGTCACCTGCCACCATGACAGGGAAATCCCCAAGAGACATCAGGAGTCCGTCCAGATCTATAAGTCTCCTGGGGCGGACCATCTTAATGGTCCGCCCCAGGAGGACCATTAAGACTTACTGTGGAGGTAGTAAGTTGTAGTAAGTCTAAATCTGATTATGTAACGATCAGTCCATGACAAAGGAACGATGGCAAGTTCCTCCAAAATGATCATATCATCCCCTCCCACTTTGAAAACCATGTCCAAGGTGTGTCCAGCTACATTGGTGGGCCCAGATATAATTTGGGACAGCCTCATGGTTGCCATGATGGCCATGAAGTCCTGAGCCACACCAGACAAAGTGGTTTCAACATGGACGTTGAAATCCCCCAACACTATGAGCCGTTGAGACTCTAACGCCAAACCAGAGATCAACCCCGCTAGCTCAGATAGGGAGACTTGTGCAGCGGGGTGAGCGGTACACTAGCAGAATCCCCAGTATGTCCTGGTTACTCACACTAGGTAGACACACTCGAATGTGGAGGATTGTGGGATGGGACACCTGATCAGGGGGACAGAATCCTGATAAATTACCATGACTGTTCTGCTTTGGTGTGTTAAAATACTATGTCCTCTGTCTTAAGAACTTGCAGACCACCTCAGTCTGAATAGTGACTGACAATGCTGGCAGAGAGATTCTGAGATACAGTGGGAATGAGAGCTTTTCTGATGAAAAGGCTGTTTCACTTGAGCAAACGAACTCCAAAAATGTTTCCAACTGTTCCTCCTCCACAGCTTTACAAGGAGCATGTGTTACTGTGCTGATACCGGCTACAATGAGCTTGTTTCTGCATTCATTTACCTAGAAGAAAGTCAGAGCGGCTCACTCTGCTGAAAAGACAAATGGATGAAGATAACATGATGCAGAACAATGTGCTACCTCCCTTATTCTATTGGTGGGAGAATCTAGGCTGATACGCTTTTCTTAAATTTGTTCAGTCTTCTGTTGATCTAGTCTTCCTGCTAGTTTCCCTTGTAGGGGCAGCTAGAAACCAAAGGATGTTCCAGGCGCAAAATATCATTTCAATGTGTTGAGGGAAGATAATAAGGTTGTGACTGCCAACTAGTTATGATGCTCATATGTCACCTTTAGTATCAGAAGCTATTAGTCCCAACTAGAGTAGATCTCTTGAACCAGTGGCATACATCTAAGTGTACCTTAGCAACTTTCATTTGTTTCAAAACGTATGCTCACTAACAGCTGGATTCAGTTGATAGGCAGGACATGCATTTGGAGGAAGGAAACTTTTGCACTCAGGCCCTTCTTAGGAGGAGGTCAATCTGGGAACAAAATGCTGCTTCGAGAAGCCTGTTCTTGTCACAATGGTGGGAAAGGTTGTGATTTATAGTTTTCCCCTTCCTCAATCATGGCCTCCCTATGCTGCGCACTGGACTGATTGTCTCAGAGACAAGCTAGAAAAAAAAATCAACCTATACATAGCAGAGTCCTTATCAGTTATCAGTAGAGTTTTTACTGCACAGCCTGACCTTGTGCCGCTCACTGTTTAAGAAAACTCTTTAACTCAGTTTTCATCCAAAATCACAGTGGAGGCTTTTAATCTTGACATGTATATACACACATTAGGATCCCCTGATCTCCTATCAGTCAAAGGCAAATACAGAGATACACTCACAACAGTTACAGATAGCAGCAACAGTTGTATGGCAAGATGCAAGAGAATCATGGCAAGAGAAATAACTTGCTATGCTTGCTGCCCACTTTTATACCCATTGCTTCTCATTATCAGACAAGGACAAAAATGAATGATTCAACCCTCATCATGACTGTCACATGGTCATGACTCAGCTTCTGTTGCCTGCCAGTTTCACATCGCCACGTATATAAACCTTCAGTAGGTGTGTGACTACATGTCCATTAGAATTGCATTTTCAACCAGTTTTACACAATGGGGTTACAACCAATGCATTCCTATCTAACAGTGCATTATCTACCTAACAGTTCTGGCCTGGCTCTCTTGTTCTTAGCTTTAGAAGACATACTTTTGAATTACACATATATTTGATAAATAGTTTGAAAGTAAAATGGATTCCTTTCAAATAAGACAATCATCTGCACGCATCTGATCATTGATAGCCACACAACACCGTTTACAGAATGGGCGTTCATGTTATACATTTATTCCAGCAGCTAAATAAAATAAAAGGTTATTCATGCAATGTAGTGCTGGCTGCGAAGTTCTATATCATTGGTTTTACAAATGAAGTTGAACCGTTTGAATTATTTATGCGGAAATCAATACTAAAACACCCTGTGATAGGTGATTTCTTTCCATTCTGATGCCCCAAGATAGCCTCTTCTAAACCTATCACTGAACATCACTTGCACTTGTTCAATGCATTAAGATTTTCTCCTACCCTTCTACCCAATCAACCTCTGTGCAAAAATAATCTCACACTTTGTACAGCTTGGAAAGTTACTTTTTGGACTACTGCTCTCAGAAATCCCCAGTCAGTCATCCTGACTATTGGCCAAACTGCTTGGTTGATTTGAGATATTGTCGTCCATGGGTATGTTGTTTTTTTTTTTTTTACTTTTTCAACCCAGAAGTAAAAAGCACACCACCAATAAGGAATATAAAAATACCGGCAAATTTCCTCATGCAACAGACTTCATCTTGGCTTGTTGTGAGTTTTCCTGGCTGTATGGCCATGTTCCAGAAGCATTATCTCGTAATGTTTCACCCACATCTATGGCAGGCACCCTCAGAGGTTGTGAGGTCTGTTGGAAACTAGGCAAGTGAGGTTATCTGTCAAGAAACTAGACTATTTCAATATGATTTCAGTCCTTTTGGACGTACATACCGTAAATTTTATTTGTGAAAAACAAGGGGTTGGGATACAGAAATTTTCTGCAGACAACAGCATATTTTGTGTAAAATGCATTTTAGGTGCAAGTTTGAAGAGGAGAGGGGCTTGGGCTGAACAAAGATTATTGTGTGAAATCCACATTTTTGCATAAAACATTTTTGCAACAAAAATTTCCAAAATAAAATAAAACCAGGAATTAAAAAAAAGAAAATGTGTAAAAACAGCAGTGAGGGCAAGTAGAAGATTTTTTTAAAATGATCCACTATTGTATGTAAGAATAAAACAACCAAAGATTAAAACCCTTAGTAGCCACTCATTAAAGTCCCCCTCTTCGCACTGAATCCAGCCCAACTAGATCAAAAAAGAAGTCTTTGCTGCTAGTGGAGGGTGCCATCCTAGCATCATTCTGTCATGAATACTTTTTGAACCTTATGTTCTTTAATCAATTTTCAGTGGGACAGAGTATCTCAGGTACTTTAAGAGAAAGCAGTAGACACACAGACTCCAGTACTGGGTTTTACAATAGCCATATATAATGGCTACTACAAAGATAACCATCTGAAGTCTAACCCTGCCAAGATGCAAGTGTGTGCTTTCCAGCTATGTAATCGTGAAGCCAACAGGAAACCGAAGGTTACCTGGGAAGGCCAAGAGCTTGAACACTGTTCCCACTCTAAGTATCTCGGTGTCGAACACTAACATTTAGGAAACACTGCGAATACCAAGCACAAAGTAGCTGCATGCAGTAACATCCTGTGGGGGGATGTTGACTAAGCTGGAATGTGTCCAGAGGAGGGCGATTAAAAGGATCAGGGGTCTGGAGAACAAGCCCTATGAGGAGAGACTTAAAGAGCAGAGCATGTTTAGTCTGCAGAAGAGAAAACTGAGAGGAGACATGATGAGGGCCATGCATAAAGAAGATAGGGGAAGTCATAAGGAGAAGGGAGCAAGCTTGTTTTCTGCTGCTCTGGAGACTAGGACACGGAACAATGGCTTCAAATTACAGGAAAGGAGATTCCACCTGAACTTTAGGAAGAACTTCCTAACTGTGAGAACAGTTCAGGAGTGGAACTCTCTGCCCTGGAGTGTGGTGGAGACTCCTTCTTTGGAGGCTTTTAAACAAAGGCTGGATGGCCATCTTTTGGGGGTGCTTTGAATGTGATTTTCCTGCTTCTTGGCAGGGGGTTGGACTGGATGCCCTATGAGGTCTCTTCCAACTCTATGATTCTATGGGTGCCAATGAAGTCTTTTGGGATATGGAACTCAGGAGAAGAGTTACCATCGACCGCTGAATAAGCACCATCAGGAGTGCTACTCAATGCTCAGGCAAGCAATCTCAGATGAGTTCCCCTGGTTAACCAGTATAATATAAGCAATTGGATAAATATTAATGAAGTTTTAAAAACCCAGAAAACTTTATTGGAATGCAGGTGGGCTTTCAATATCCTCTCGAATAAATGTCATTTGCTTGCCAAGAAGTCTAACACTGCTGGAATCCTAATTAGTTCACAGTGTGTTCAAACACCACTGATGAAGCAATGTACCTTTATTAAGTGGCGGATCTGTAATCTGGCACAAGCTGGGCTGAGCATTTGATTTGCCTTTCCATTCCAATTCTAGGCAGGTGTGTGCCTTGATTTCAAGGAGGGAGAAAAGTAATGTACATAATTGGGCTCGCAAATAGGACTCTGAAAAGCTCATGCTAATAAAGTAGATCAGAAAAACTCTGAAATCTTCTTGGAATCATAGACTTGGAAGGGCCATCAAGTTCCACTCCCTGCCATGCAGTAATAAAGCTCCCCTGAGATATGATGATCCAACCTCTGTACCATCTCTGAGGCTCGCTGACCTACATTGTATGGTCTCCAGATCTTCTACAAATAGTAAAATATTCAGTCAAATGTTTGAACCATGTGCAAGAGAAACTTTTTAATGGAGACATGAAGAATGTTTGAACGTTACCTCCCAGATTCTTGGTGCATAGTGAGGCATTTATAAAGTCAAAGTCCAAAACATCCATTGGGCAAAATGTTTTTCTCACTAATGTTGAGGGTAATGTGGCATTACTGGGATCAGAAGACAGGACTAATAATGATATGAGAAAAGGCTTGTTGGGTCAAACCAAATACACTAAATGGGAAGGGGCAACCGAGGACAGGATGCAAGATGGGGAATGAGACTTAGTGGACAACAGCATGGCATTCTGCAACAGCAATCCATTAAGGCTGAGTTAAATTGGATTGCTTCTCCTGGAAGGCACAGTTAGTGATATGCCTTCTCTTTTATTAGTTACGGCATGAAATTAGCCAGCAATATGGGGATCAAGAAGGCCTTGTGGAGCTATACATATCATTGTGTCTGTCTTACACTCCCAAGTGCCAAGTTATTTCAGGGACATAGTGTTTACCTGACTCTGGTTTCTTTGGGAAGAAGAGGTCTAATGCAGTTCTACAATAGAGTAATGTTTCACATTTACAGATATGCAAGTGAAGCATAAGTGATGGGGGTGAACAGCTTAATATTTTCCTCTCAACTCTCTAGAGAGAAGCAACCATGCATCTCCAGCTATGTTACAGTTCTGTCTCTTATAGTTCTGTCATTTTATCTTTCAAGTGTGTGTACTTTCCCAGACTCTGTAATACTCTGGGCTTCAGCCTAACTTCAAAGGAGCTATCCAGGGTTCTGAATCCAATCCTCCAAATAGCTCCAGCGCTTTGGACAGTGCCTATAAAATTTAGACTAACACCCATAATGGATTCATTGCCCTACTGACATGGAAGCCAGAAGCATTCACTGTCTTAGGCCCCTTCTATACTGCCAAATACAATCCAGATTATTTACTTTAAACTGGATTATATGGCAGTGTAGACTCATATAATCCAATTCAAAGCAGACAATCTGGATAATCTGCTTTGATAATCTGGATTATATGGCAGTGTAGAAGGAGCCTTAGATGCATAGGAGCTGTCCAAGCAGAGAGCTACCTGAGAGTGCTGTACATAGTCCTCAACTGACTCTACACAGTCAAGCTGTGTTTTGTGCCAGTCCTCATCCTGTAATTTATATCCATATATTCAAAATCATTACTAGTTTAGGGAGAGGAGTCCGTAGCCTCTCCCGTTGCTGTGACTGAATTATTACAGGCCATGGCAGGTAATGGTAGTGATTCAAAGACATCTGTTTCAGACTGACATCTAAGAGTGGGATTTCTCATCTGATGTTCTGATTTCTCATCTGATTTCTCATCTGATGTTCTGAAAGGTGCCAGTGAGCAAGTACAGGTAAATCATCCTCTCTGGGCATTTATAAATATCAATGCATCTCATCTGAGCTCATTGATTCCACAAAGAGTAACAGCATCCTGCAACAACTCTGGTGCTTGACTTGGCTCTGTAGGTATCTGGCAGCAGTGACAGAAATAAGGATGGTAAAGTGATGGTCCAAAGGGACCACATTGGTCTCGGCCTAGTTGGACCATCTTGGGATGGAGTGTGTGGATGCCTCCAGAGCCTCTGGGCCAGACAGGAGCATGGCTGTTCTGGATTAAGCGGTCAGTATAGATAAGTGATTCCCATACTTTGGTCCTCTAGGTATTTTGGACTTCAGCACTCACAATTCCTAACAGCTGGTAA